TTGGGCCAAGAAAGCTCGAGATAACGGAACGAAGCATTCAATTGCCTAATCCACCCCGACAGGTCCTCGACCGCTTCGGGATACCAAACGGTAACTGCAAAAACAAAGGGAAGATCTTTTTTTGAGAAGAAGGTAAGGAGACAGTAAAGTATGTTCGAAGGAAAGGCACTTACGCTCCATATTCCACTTCTCAGGGAATCGCATCCTTTCGGCTAGGATGATATCCGAGGTTCTCACTCGGAAAAACCTGCTCATCCACTCCCGATCCTTGTTCTCATCAATGCTCGAGAAAAACGGCTTCGCAGATCGAGGGTGAAGCTTAATCAAACCTCGATGAAGATGAGGGATTTACAATCTAATCAAGTGGTCAAGGGTAAAAGTCATACCCACGTCCTTGTTGGAGAAATAACGGAGCATATAGACTATCCTCCAGAAAGATGGATAGATTTGGCCAAGCATCACTTGATACTTGTGACAGAAGTCGAGAGATAAGCGGCCATCATTAAATTGGCTTTACTAGGGATCCTATAATAGGGAACTTTCATTCCCAGTAGAAGTCCTCGAGCAACTTGCCTAATACTAATAAATAAGGGGAAGGCCCAACATTTTATATTAGTATAAGGAAGGCGCTAATAACCGAATCTATCACCGGGGAAGAAGGGTCTGAAGAATTGACGAGACCCAAGGTGAAAGGGTATGTATATACGTAAAGAAAGCCGGCCTAATGATCTGTTATGCTCTCACTAGAACCGGGAATCTCAACTAACAGTGTCCTCTCCCATCGATAGTCTTCCTTCACTTTTTGTATGTTAGTTACGACGCTAATATACCGGGACACATGTTCGCATCGGCCTGGCGTAGATGAGGGCCTCTCGATAGAGAAATCATTCACAGTATCGAACTCGGTAGGGGTACACTATTCAACGGTGGGGGCCACTTTGGGTTTACCCTTGGATGTTCGAGATGAAGAGGCGGCATCCTCTTTTCGAGGCATTGTTTTAGAGGTTCTAGCCATGGTGGTGGAAAGGTCTTTCTGAGAAAGAAAGTGAAGAATCAAGAACGGAAGAAAGAAGAATGTGAAAAAGGATGACTTTGGCCTGAAAGTTTAAAGATGTTGTAAAAGTGCGAATCACTAAACGATTGAGGTATTTATAGAAGCCATATGGGCAGCGGAAAGGACGAACCAATAGCGGTTTGTGGGCTTCTCGATAGTCGTGTTGACGGTGACCCTTGCGCGGCTTTTCGAGTAATGGCGATTTATGCTCTGATAGACTGACGTCATGATGGTATTGCTTAAGAAGTAGGGGTTCAAAACCGTTTCCTATCATTTTATCCCAGGAAACTCGGGGACTATCTGTACACGGTAAAAATCAATGGTCCGATTATATGATCGTTAAGGTGCCTCGTAAAGACCGCCCCCAGAAGGCTCAAGCTCAGCTAGGGGTTTCGACCCCGAGGGTTCTAAATGATCGACCTCGGGGCAGTGCAAACCAGCAGCTACGGTGGATCGATCTGAGGTTCCCAAGGCACGTGACTAGAGCTGACAAAGTCTATTAGGCTAGTCCAAACCCGTATCATGGCATTAAATGGCTGTACCAGCCCCATATCTTTGTAATAAATGCATTTGTACTATATTGGGATTCCCCCTCATATATAAAGGGGATCCTTGTCATTTTGTAAGGAGGATCTGATACACAACATCCAACACACTACATTCAATACAAGAATATTCTCTGCTCTCTAACTTAAACATATTCTCTTGGTCTCATTATTTACATTTATTGCTTATATTCATTATGTTCTATTAATTATTCATCATTTATTGCTCATTATTGATTGTAAAGAGCCGTCATCGCAACTCTCATAACTGCTAATCCTTCATCGACTGCCCTTAGCCGGGCATCCAACTCGACCCTGAGGCCCCACATACGCAAGCTCGAGTCTTCGATTCCCTGCCATTCGGTTTGATTATTACATCATCTGCAAGCTATTATCTTATTTTCCGATCTTTCACTTAGCATCTATTGCCTAACAACTAGAATAAAAATAGATCACGTATTTTTAGAATCGCAGAATCAAATCTAATTGTTATTACCATTTTCAAGGTAAACAAATTCAAAGAAAGAAAAGAAGAACAAGATAAATTGTAGTGGTCAAATATTTGTCAAATTTTTCAATGGGCGTTATTGATGAGGGTTTCCTCCTTCACAGACTGAATGTTTTGTGATTAGAACTATGGTCTCAAACTCTGCGTAGAAGGAGGTTTGTGGAAAACGATCTGTGTATGGAAGGAGCTCTGTGTAGATTTAGGTTTTAGAATCATTTACGGCAAAAAAAAAATCAGATTTTATACTGTAAAAATTAGGTAATTAAAAAATAATGGGGCTATTTTTAGTCAATTGTTAATGTGGGTTGCTAGTCTAGTTAATTCTTCACGAGTAAAGGAAAAAAAATGGCCAGTCATGTATCTTCTTAAACACTGACTGACCATACACTTTTATCAATCCAAAATAACCACTGAAAATAGTCAGACAATTGAATTTATTCTAATCTAGTAAAATGACTAAGATAATGCTTCCTGTAGGCCCGACATAACATACACACAAAATCATCTTTCAGCTAAGGATATTATTGAATTAGTAAACAAGTAATTAAAGACCAAAAAATAGTTTTTTCAATCTTAAGAACAAGACAACCCAAAAGAAAAATTAATAAATAAGCACCAACAAACCAAATAGATGCAAGGGCCTTGACTTGATTCGTTCTTTTATATGTAAAAGGCATATTTAAGAACAACCCAAAAAAAAAAATTAATGTATAAAACAAATTGAAAACAAAGTGGGGAAGAAGAGAGAAACATGTATAATTTACTCTGTGTGATTTTAACATACCCGTGTATTGTAATGTTCGAGAAGGCTGAGGTTTGGTCGAAGAAGAAGAAGAAATGAATTAGGAAAGTGGCTAGCTAGGGTTAAAAGGGCATGGGCACGTGCACATTAGGAAGGCACGTGTTAAGAAGATCGATGGCTGTGATTACAAGTTAGAGATATTAATAAATGGATCAGAGTCAATCAATTGTAACAGATTGGGCCTCAACCTGTTATAACAAAATTGGGCTGGGAATTAGAGATCAGTTTTTGACCGGTATTATTCAGTTACTCTCTCTTTCTCTCTCTACTTTCTTTCTCTACTTCCTCTCTTCTTCTACAATTCCTAATTCTCTCTTCTACTCGTGTTTCTCCTTTACAGGTTCATGTGAAGACCTTCAATGGAGTCTCAATTGTTTTTGTTATCTTTTGAGAGTTACTACTATTATTCAATTGAGAGCTATTACTGTAATTCATTCAGCTATTAATAAAACTCCATTGTTGTCCCATTTCCATTTATTGTTCAATTTCCTATTTGAGTATATTACAATTGGTATCAGAGCAATTCCTGGCCACATTATTATAGAAAATGACGATTCCTGAAACTAGATCAAAATCTATGGAAGAAAATGTTAAAAACCTAGAAACCCAGCTACAGAGTCACATAGAGAAGACAGAGATGAAATCTGAAGCAACAGACGCAAAAATAGATGACTTGGCAAGGAAGCTTGATGTGCTAATGGAGAAGTTACTTCCAAATCAAGCAGGCATTTTGGGAAGTGCTCCTTCTGGGAGCCATTTTCTCGAAACTTCTGAAGGCAGGCATAAGAGTGAACACAGGGGAGAACCATTCACTCCTGGCATTGGGGAGAGAAACTATCATCACAGTTCCAACTCGAGGGTAGAATTTCCATACTTCGATGGAGCAGGGGCAGCAGATTCATGCTCATGGATGAGGAGGTGTGAGCAATACTTCCACTACAATCATATCATCGAGCAAGGGCAGAAACTGGAAGAAGCAGTCCTTCATCTTCAAGGTAGGACTGAAGCTTGGTATTTTTCATATCAAGTAAGCAGAGGAAATGTTAGTTGACGAGAGTTTTGTGAAGAATTGTGCAAAAGATTCCAAGATGCTGAAAATAGTAAATTCAATCTCATAGGAGAATTTAAGAAGATTGAGCAGAAGGGTAGTGTTAATGATTACTTGGAGAGGTTCGAACATTTGAAGTCTTGGGTGTTGATTAGGAGCCCCACAATTCCTGAAGACTTCTTTCTAGAATATTTTTGTAGAAGGATTGAAGGAGGAAATAAGGCATACAATTAAAATGCTCAATCCCTTTACTTTGAGCCAAGCAGTAGAAAAGGCTAGGCGTCAGGAGAAAGTCATAGATTCTTGGGCTAAGAAGGGGAAGATAATAGGGGGAAGGAGTCTGATGCCCACCAATGTCAGTGGATCAAGTTTAGCTACCACTAATAGAGGTGCAGGATTCACAAGTCAGAATAACAGACTGTTTAAAACTAGAAGAGCTCAAGGATTATGTTATAAGTGTGGGGAGAAGTATCACCCAGGTCACTGATGTAAAACTAAATAGTTAAATGCGATGTCTGGATCTATGGAACCTCCTGAAGATGAGGTTTAGCTAGGGTTTGAAGATATAAGAGAGGAGATCTTAGGAGCACAAGAAGGGGAACCCATGGATGAAGCCATTAGCCTGAATGCTCTTTCAGGTACTGAAGTGCCAAACACCATTAGACTAAAGGGAGAGTCTAAGAAGAATACTATGAGAATCCTACTTGATTCAGGAAGCACTCATAGTTTCCTGGACTTAGAGACAACAAAGAAAATGGGATGTGTTATCAAAGAAACTGTTCCTATGAGGGTTACAGTAGCCAATAGGAACCACTTGTGCAGTCTGTACACTTGTCCCAAATTTAAGTGGAAAATACAAGGAATAGAGTTTGATGACTTAGTGAGATTAATTAGACTTGGGGTAATGACATGATTTTGGGGGCAGATTGGATGAAAGGACACAATCCTGTCCTTTTGGACTTCATAGAGTTTAAAGTCCAGGTGACACACAAGGGCAAAAGGGTGGAACTTAAGGCATTTATCATCAAGGTGAGCTAAAGAGTATGACTGCTATTGGGGTCAAGCAGTTATTCAAGAAAGGTCAAGCTATATGGGCTCACTCGTTCACTATATCAACAGCAAAAACACAGTCAGAAGAGAATATACCTGCAGCTATTCAACAAGTGCTGAAGGAGTTCCCAGATGTCTTTGCTGAGCCCAAGACCTTGCCTCTAAGGAGAAATCATGACCACTTCATTCCTCTGAAATCAGAAGCAAATCCAGTTAGCATCAGGCCCTACAGGTATAATTTTTTCCAAAAAAATGAAATAGAAAAGCAAGTAAATGAAATGCATCAGAATGGGATTATTCAGCCCAGCCATTCACTATTCTCTTCACCTGTTTTACTGGTGAAAAAGAAGGATGGTAGTTGGAGGTTTTGTATTGATTATAGAGCCCTTAATCACATAACTGTTAAAGACTAGTTCCCAATTCCTTTGGTAGATGATTTAATGGATGAATTACATGGCTCATGCATACATTCTAAGATAGAGTTTAGGGCTGGATATCAGCAAATTAGAATGGGGGACAAGGACATATATAAAACTGCATTAAGGACACACTTGGGACATTATGAGTTTAAGGTTATGCACTTTAGGCTAACCAATGCACCAGTTACCTCTCAGTCCCTCCAGAATCATGTGTTCCAAGCTCATTTAAGAAAGTTTGTCCTAGTATTTTTTGATGACATTTTAGTATACAGTGCATCAATGGAAGATCATGTGTTTCACCTCAGAAAAGTGTTAAGTATACTGAGGAAAGAATAGTTGTTTGCTAAATTGTCCAAATGTTCTTTTGGACAGTCTAATGTGGAGTACCTAGGGCATATTATATCTGGGGAAGGGGTCTCTACTGATCCCTAAAAAATTGAAGCTATGGCCAACTAGCCAACACCAAAATCTGTTAAGGCTCTAAGGGCTTTTCTAGGCCTGACAGGTTATTACAGAAGATTTATTAAGTCCTATGGGGTTATCAGTAGACCATTAACTAATCTGTTAAAGAAGAATGGATTTCTTTGGGATGATGATTCTGAAGCAGCTTTTCAAGCACTTAAGGAAGCCATGACTACTGCTCCTGTGTTAGCTTTGGCTGATTTCAATGAGCACTTTGTGATAGAAACTGATGCATGTTCTAGTGGGATGGGAGCAGTCCGGATGCAACAAGGGAGACCTATAGCCATTTTCAACAAGGCATTGGCACCTAGACACATGGGGTTGTGTCTACCTATGAGAAGGAGTATATGGCTATTTTTTCAGCTGTAGATAAATGGAGACACTATTTGCAAGAAGGTCATTTCATCATAAGAACTGACCATCAAAGCCTTAAGTATCTACTGGAACAAAGAGTTACTACTGCCCTCCAACAAAAAGGGCTGGCCAAACTAATGGGGTTAGATTATGAGGTTCAATACAAGAAGGGTGCAGAGAACAATGTGGCTGATGCCTTGTCAAGGAGGCAAGAAGAATACCCTACCTTTAATGCCATCACTTCAGCAGACCCTACTTGGATGAAGGAAATTGAGTTAAGCTATGAACATGACCCCCAAGCTCTACAGTTGATCACTGAACTTATCACTGCACCTAACAGTAGGGCCAATTTATCACTGACTCACAGTATTTTGAGGCATGATAACAGAATTTATGTAGGAAGGAGCACTGATCTAAGGGCTAGGATTTTTGAGGTCCTACACTTATCTCCCTTGGGAGGGCATTCTGGTCAACAAGGAACTTACAAAAGGATAGGCATGACCTTCTATTGGCCTAATATAAAGACAGATGTGCTCAAATGGGTTTCAGAATGTGATATTTTCCCAAGGGTAAAAACTGAAAACATCCATCCAGCTGGTCTATTACAGCCTTTACCTATTCCTGATCTTCCTTGGCAAGACATTGCCATGGATTTTATGGAAGGTCTACCCTCCTCAAATCACAAGAACACTGTCCTAGTTATTGTGGACAGATTAACAAAGTATGGTCACTTCTTAGCTCTGAGTCATCCCTATACTGCACATGATGTGGCAGACTTATTTCTAAAGGAAGTTTACAAGCTGCATGGTCTACCTAAGACCATTGTTACTGACAGAGATGCTATTTTTACAAGCAGTTTTGGCAAGGACTATTTAAATCCTTGGGAACCAAATTACATATGTCCACTTCCTACCATCCCTAAAATGATGGTCAGTAATCAAAAGCAGTGGTTCAAGTGGCTTGGATCCTATTTGAGAGCTATGGTGTTCACTAATCAAAAGCAGTGGTTCAAGTGGCTTCCCCTGGCAGAGTGGCGGTATAACACCAACTACCATAATGCCCTGAAATGAACACCCTTTCAGGCCCTTTATGGGTTCCCACCTCCATAGGTTTCCCTAGGATCCCTTCCTTACCCATCCAACACACAGGCTGGGGCATGCATCGTCTAGAGACAGACCATGCTGCAGCATCTGAAGGAGAATCTCACACAGGCGCAAGCCCGGATGAAATTCTGTGCAGATCGTGAAAGAACAAACAGACAATTTGAGGAAGGGGACTATGTGTATCTAAAGCTACAACCCTACAGGCAATCATCAGTAGCTATGCAAAAAAACTTAAAATTGAGTGCTCGATATTATGGACCCTATAAAGTGCTACAACGTATAGGAGTAGTAGCTTACCGGCTTGACCTTTCTCCAGGCTCACAGATTCATCTGGTGTTCCACATTTCTCAGTTGAGGCAACGAATAGGGCCAGCAATCACTCCTCAGATGAAACCTCCGATTTGTGACGATGATGGTCGAGTCAAGGTGCAGCCGATTGCCATTCTTCAGAGGAAAATGGTGAAGGTCAATAATGGAGTTGGGGTTAAGGTTCTGGTTCAATGGGCTAATCTAAGCCCCGATGAGGTCACATGGGAGGATTGGGGGTACGTGAGGAGCCAATTTCCTGAGTTTGTAGCTTAGTATAGACCTTGAGGACAAGGTCTGTTTCGTGGGAGGGGTATTGTAATGTTTGAGAAGGCTGAGGTTTGGTCGAAGAAGAAGAAGAAATGAATTAGGAAAGTGGCTAGCTAGGGCTAAAAGGGCATGGGCACGTGCACATTAGGAAGACACATGTTAAGAAGATCGGATGGCTGTGATTACAAGTTAGAGATATTAATAAATGGGCCAGATTCAATCAATTGTAATAGATTGGGCCTCAACCTATTATAACATAATTGGGCTGGGAATTAGAGATTAGTTTTTGACCGGTATTATTCAGTTACTCTCTCTTTCTCTCTCTACTTTCTTTCTCTACTTCCTCTCTTCTTCTACAGTTCCTAATTCTCTCTTCTATTCGTGTTTCTCCATTACAGGTTCATGTGAAGACCTTCAATGGAGTTTCAATTGTTTTGGTAATCTTTTGAGAGTTACTACTGTAATTCAATTGAGAGCTATTACTGTAATTCATTCAGCTATTAATAAAACTCCATTGTTGTCCCATTTCTATTTATTGTTCAATTTCCTATTTGATTATATTACATGTATGTATAAATATAATATACTGAATACATTGATCATACATCAAATAAAGTATTAAAATTCAATATATACTTTGTATAAGCGATGTTTTATCAATATATAACTAGTGTATAAATATATATACGGGGGATAAACTGATTATACAGTGATTATGCACCAAGTTCAATGATTATACACTGATCCTGGTCTAGAACCTCATCAGATATGATGAAACAAAAAGGGAAAGTAAATTCGAGAAAGAGAAGAAGAAGAAGAAGAGAAGAACAAGATAGATGGTCGTGGTCGAATATTAGTCGAATTTTTTGATAGGCGTTACTGATGGAGAATTCCTCCTTTATAGTGAATGATTTATGATTAGAACTATAGCAGGAAAAAGACATTTTAAACTCAGCATAGAAGGAGCTCTGTGTAGATTTAGGTTTTAGATTTGTTTACCGCTAAAAAAAGAAATTCTTTTATCCTAACATATTAAATTGACTAAGATAACACTTCATGTAGGCCTTACTCGTTAGGCATTTAAAATAGCATAATAGACACACGAAATCATCTTTCGGCTAAGGATATCATTGAATTAATGAACAAATAATTTTTTAAATACCAAATAATCGTTCTTTTTATCTTAAGAACAAGACAACCCAAAAGAAATATTAATATATAAGCACCAATGAACTAATGTAACGACCCGACCGTTCGCTTTGAGCTCTAGCACGTTGTTCGGCAGTTTGAGACCATGAGTGGCTTCACTTCAGGTATTATGACTTGTACGTATGGTCGGAATTGAGTTTCGGAAAGTTCGGAGTTAATTTAGAGAGAAAATTCTCATTTCGAAAGTTTTAAGTTGGGAGAATTTACTAAGGTATGATTTTAGAGTAAAGGACCTCAAAATCGGGATTTAAAAGTTCAAACAGGTTCGTATGATGATTTTGTACTTGGGCGTACGTTCGGATCGAGTTTTGGATGACCCGGGAGCATTTCGACGCCTATTATGGAAAGTTGGCATTTTGGAAGGATTTCCTAAATTTGGGTTGGAGGGCATTTCAATGTTATAAAAGTTAGTTTGGGATTCCGAGTCTGGGAATAGCTTCGTATGGTAATTCTGGTATTGGGCGCGTCCAGAAGTGGATTTGAAGGTCCCTAGGTCATTTCATGGTCATTTGGCGAAAGTTGGAAATTTGAAGGTTTTTGAAAAGTTTGATCGGGAGTCATCTTTTTGATATCGGGGTCGGATTCCGATTCCGGAAGTTGGAGTAGGTCCGTAATGTCGAATATGACTTGTGTGCAAAATTTGAGGTCAATCGGACGTGATTTGATAGGTTTCGGCATCAAAGGTAGAAGTTTGAAGTTCTAAAGTTCATTAAGCTTGAATTGGGGTGCGATTCCTAGTTTTGACATTGTTTGATGTGATTTAAGGTCTCGGGCAAGTTCTTGCTATAATTTTAGACTTGTATGGGTGTTTGGGAGCCTCGAGGGCTCGGGTGAGTTTCGGATAGGTTTAGGTTGTGTTGCACGTGTTTTTGATGCTTCGCCGTTGTTTCTTCAAGCATAAATGGTAGAACATTAAGTAAATGAACTCTAAATTCAGTTTCTATTGAACCATTAGATCCGTATCATAATTACGAAGCCATAGGAAAAACAATAGTCGAATTTGGACATCGTATGAGAGAGTTATGCCCATTTCCATGTCAGGAAAAATTGCTGATTTCTGGTGTGGTTGCAATTGCGAACATCTCTATCGCAATTGCTATGCCCCGTTCGCAATTGCGAACTTTTTATCGCAAATGCGACCTTTTAAAACCCTGATCTTGTTCGCAATTGCGAAGGCTTCTTCGCTTTTATGAGGGTTTGCAATTGCGAACCCTGAATCGCAAGTGCGACATCTGCAGCTTATTTTCATCTGTGTAACTCGGGATTTTGCTTCATTTATCATATTTTGAACCCTAGGTACGAGAGTGGGTGATTTTGAGAGAGGATTTTCCTATCAAATCATTGGGTAAGTGCCTCTACCCAATTTTTAATTATATTTTGTGATTATACCTTAGATTTAACATCAGAATTCATGAGAATCTAAAAGAAAATTTGGGAAAAATTGTAAACTCTTTCAAAATGTAAAATAATTATTTGAAGGACGAACTGGTATCGGAATTTGATAATTTTGGTATGGTTGAACTCGTATTGGAATGGGTGTTCGAGTTTTCTAAATTTTACCGGGTTCCGAGGTGCGGGCCGGGGGAGTTGACTTTTGTTGGCTTTTTACAAGTTGTGTAAGGATCATAGCTTTGTTAATATGAATTATTTTCTCTTGCATTGTTCGATGTATTTAAGTCATCAGATTGAGCCGAGCAGTGGTGATTTGGTAAAAGAAAAGCTAAATTGAGTATTTAGTTGTCACGGTCCAAATTCACCCTCCGTGAACTATCGTGACGGCACCTAGTCTCTACGACTAGGTAAGCCTAACAATTTCGGAAAAAGAAACAAAATGTGGAAAAACAAATAAAAAAAAACTAAAGATAAACAAATATAGAAGCGTCTAAGATGCCGCTCGGCATATACCAATACAAGATCCAAAAACTGAAAAACTCCCAAAATCCGGAATCTCATGAACCACAAGCTATGAATACTGCATAGTGTTCCAACTCCGAAATGTCTAAATCAAAAGAAATACAGTAGGGCTATAACTACAAGAGAGAATAGAGTGGAACTCCTCGTTCTGCGGACGCAGCAGATATTCCTCGAAGTCTCTGGAGAATCACTTTACCTTAAGGATAGTAGGGC